CTAATACAAAGTTTTTAAATATTTACCTGGGCTGGTGGCGCCCACCTATAATCCCAGCTACTTGGGAAGCTGAGTCAGGATGATCATAAATTTGAGACAAGCCTGCGCAATTTACCAAAACCTTTCAACGTAAAATTTTAAAAAGGGATATGGAGCTGAATGTGTAGTTTGGTGATAGATCACTTACTTAGCATGCTCAAGGTCCTGGGTTCAATCCCCAGTACCACCCCTCAAAAAAATCTTTCATACACTGTATCCCAGGCTAGCCTCAAACTCATGACCCTCCTATTTCAGCCCTCTGAAAACTGGGACTGTAGGCATATGCCACCAGTGCCAGTAAACAAATGCTCTTATACAAATGAATTGCGTCACAGATTGCTAGAGCTTTAGACAATTTTCCCTTGAAGATATGTTGAACACCCTGCAAGCTGTTAGTATTAGACCCTATGTTGAAAGGTTTGATGGGACTCTAATTAGACAGCTATTTCTTTTAAAAGAGAGAAGAGGGGAGATATCATGATTCTTTTTTTGTTGTTCATTTACAGATGACTGATTATATTTAGTCAAGAAAATATCCCCACATTTCAAAGGGCAGCTGGGCGTGGTGACACACGCCTGTAATCCCAGCACTTGGGAGGTTGAGGCAGGAGGAGCTCTGTGAGTTCAAGACCAGCCTGGGGTACATAGTGAGTTCCAGGTCAGTTTCAACTACATAATGAGACTCTGTCTCAAAAAACAAAATAAAATGAAAAAACAAAATCAAAAGGCAACAGTCTATGTACCAGACACTTAGCTTTTTAAAAATAATTGTAAAAATGTAATTCTCTTTCATGCTATTCTTATATAGAAGGGATAGGGAAGAGAAGTAGTCCTTCAATTGTGCAACTAAAATTTTTTCTGAGCCAGGCATGGTGGTGCACGCCTATAGTCCCAGCACTCAGGAGGCTGAGGCAAGAGGATTGCTGCAGGTTTGAGGCTAGCCTAGGCTACGTAGCAAGTTCAAGGCCAGCCTGAACTCCATAGTGAGACCCTGTCTCAAATAAATAATCTTTTATAAAGAAAGAAAATAAAATCTTTTATGAAGTAAACACAGTTGTCTTGAATGCATGTGTTTTCAGTCAGGACCTAATTTAGAGAAGGTAAAGCTTAGTCCCCTGGGATTGGCACATTTTGTTAGAACTAGGACTGCTACTTTATCAAGCAAAGAATCCATTGTGAAGTAAATTTACCCACCAACACAGTAGGAATGTCGGTGTCAGGGTATAATGTTTGCTATAGCACTTACTACATTTTCTTATTTAATTTCCTCTGTGTAAAGTGTTATACTTTTATACTCAAAAGAACCAAAATTTAGCTTGCATGGAGTCGTTGATCACTATTCATGAGACTGGAATTTGGTTTTATGCATTTAGGCTCTGGATTACATCTTGGGTTCTTGGTACCAGATCAGGTGAATTCTGCTGGTCTCAGACCTCCATCTCCATTCGTGTGTGTGTGTGTGTGTGTGTGTGTGTGTGTGTGTGTGTGTGTGAACATGCACATGAGTGCTTTCCTTAGGATCAAATGTAGGGCTTTAGGCCCACTAGGCAAATACTGCATTGCTGAGCTGCACCACTCACAGCAAAGAGTGCCAGGGAAGTTGAGAGGAGGAGATGTTGAGGATCTGAGGGTGTTCAAAGACCAGGCTCTGAGCCTCAAAACAGTGTTTTTGGGCCAGGGATTTAGCTCAGTGACACCACGCCTGCCTTACAAGCTCGAGGTCGTGAGTTTGATCCCCAGTACCAAAACAGACAAAATAAAACAAAAAAAGTATTTTCATGGCTGACTCCTGTCCTCATTCCCCATAGCCCTGCATCCCAGCCCACAAGATCTACATCTCATCACTGAATTTTTTCATTTTTCTTTTTTTTAACTGTTCAGAAAATTTCCAATTGTTAGTGGTATAAATGGAAATCTTGCATTGCCAAGCCATCTTCTGTGGGGAAGTGGTGACAAAAGCAACTTCCTTCTCCTCAGCACTATATCAGGCTTAAAGCATTATTCGTGAGGACGTACTCTTTCATCTAGAACCTGTCTTCATAGGCACCTGTTATGGCTGCAGTCTCCCCCTCACTCTATTTAAATTCATTTATGTTTGTTTGTTTCTTTTGCTGGTTTGTATGTAAAAGCATTTGACTAAAACTTAATTTTTAAGCATCTTTTTAAGTTACACCATCCCAGTGTCAGGGCTTTCTCGAAAACGCTGGTTAAGAAGTTTCTCTCCTGCGGGCTGCTGAGAGATTCTGTGCTGAAGGAAAGGCTAGGAAGCCTGTCTTTCTCAAGCCTTTGTCTTCCGTTTGACTTTGTAAGCAACAAAATGCCTCTTTTGGTCGCAGCACAGTTTCGTGTTTTTAAGTGAAGATTTTAAAAATTATTACTATATCTTAATATGTTTTGTATCATCAGTCTTTAATAAAATGATTCTTTAAAGGGGAAAAATTATAGCTCTGATCACCATGCTGTTGGCACATGTGAGACTTGAGAACAGTGAAGCTGCCATGCTCAGCAGTAGCTAATTTTTTGTTTGAACTCTTACTGTTCATATTTATTAGCTCTCACAGGATTTGTCATCCTATTTTGTGTACACATGCACTTAAACCTGGTGACTCTGCCTGTGGCCCGAGGCTGACCAGCAACACAGATCAACACCAGCGGGGCAAAGCTCCTTAGGTCAGGCCTGTGGACAAGAACAAGCCTGGATCGATCATCCGTGCACTTGGCGAGTCATCATTACCTGACAGCCCGTCTGCCCCTGTCACTAAGAAATATCTATACACAGACCTAAGACACTTTAAAGCACTCCATCTTCTAATTTGGCTATGAGTAGAGCATTGTTTATCTTAAATAAGTCATTTTGTAAAGAATTTTACCAGGGCCAGAGATTTAGCTTAGTGGTTCCAGCACCTGCCTCTCAAATGCAAGGACCTGAGTTTGATCCCCGGCACTGAAAAAAAAAAGTAGAATTTTACCAGCTTCCTTTTTGTAATGTGGTATGGAGTAACTACTATGTACTAGTCAGCATCTCCTTCACTTGCCATTTTAGAATAATGCACACATCTCCATTCACCACCACACCACTCCGCCCCTTCACTCTTGTCTCCTCTTTTGTTTGTATTTCCTGGTATTGGGAACTAAACCCAGGGGCTTGTTGCTGAGCTACATCCTCAGCCCTTTTTATTTTTAAATTTTGAGACAGGACCTCACTAAGTTCCCCAAGCTGGGCTCAAATTTATGCTCTCCTGGCTCAGCCTCCCAGAGTTAGGGATTACAAACTTGTACCACCATGCCTGGCTAGGTTTTCTTTTCTCTTTCAGGGTACCACCTTTATGCCTTCTGCCCTTTTGCCTTTTGTTAAAAGTCTAGAATTCGGGCCAGGGATTTAGCTCAGTGGTTCCGCTGCCTGCCTTGCAAGTGCAAAGACCGGAATTCGATGCCTGGTACCAAAAAAAAAAAAAAAAAAAAGGTCTAGAATTCACAGTGTGGCATTTATCCCAAGTTCCTTTCTGGTCCTCATATTATCTACAGCTTAGTCTCAGGGCCTGGCCTGTCCATGTGATTCACGGGAGGCAGCTGTAGATTCATTTGGAATCGAAGGTGAGGATACGATTCAGCCTCGTGCGCACTAGGCAAATGCTCTTCCACTGTGCTGTACCCCGGCCCTGAATGTGATTTTGAGCTACATGAGGTCACTGGTTCATAACCTGGGTTAGCCATTTCATTTTTCTAGATCTGTTTTCCCCTCTGTAGAATGCAGTGGCTCAGTTTATCATCTCAAAATCTTCTACCTGATTTGTGCTGGTTGGCCTGTGTGCTTCTAATATTACCAACCTGGGCACAGTATGGCCCTAGATGTTACTGAAGTGGTAGGACTTGTCATGCTTGGTCATTAAAAGTAATTTTCCAGGGCTCAGTGGTTCCACCACCTCCCTCACAAGCACAAGGGCCCAAGGTCAATCCCCAGTGCCACAAAAAAAAAGGTTTTCCAGTCGGGCATGGTGGCACACACCTATAATCCCAGGACTCAGGAGCTGAGGCAGGAGGATTGCCAGTTTGAGGCCAGCCTAGGCTACATAATAAGTAAAATTTTCCCATACACGGGTGTGTGACTGTGCCCACACAGCAGCACTGTGGAGCTGCTTGGTGGACGATCTGTTCTTGGAGTAATCTAGAAAAGCAGTTGAGAAATTTCAGGATTGGATCTCTCTGGATTCTAGGAGATCTCCAGAAAAAGATAAAAGTTCTTCCCTGTTGCTCCTTGCTTGTATTGTCACCCCACTCTGTCCAAGTTGCAGTCATATTTAATCTCTGTCGAGTTCCATTCTCTGATGTCAGTGTGTGCTGTTTTCTAGACTCTCCTAATTTTATTTCCTTTCTTTAAAAAAAAACTGATAGCTACACCGGGCACAGTGGCACATGCCTATAATCCCAGCACGGCAGAGGCTCAAGCAAGAATGTCCTCCAAGCGCAAGACCAGCCTGGTCAAGGCCAGCCTGAACTGCATAGCAAGACACTGTCTCAAAACAAACCAGTAAAAATACTTTTCCTTGTCATGCTTTCTGATTTCCTTCTTTACGGGGGAGGGGGTTGAGTCTGGGGTTGGGGGTGATTCACAATATATAGTCCAGGGTGGCCTCAAACTCGAGGCTTTCCTCCTGCTGCCTCAGCCTCCCAAGTGCTGGGATTACAGGCATGCACCACAACACCTGGCTCTGCTTTTCTTCTGAAGATTTAATTTAAGATGTTTGCAAGGCCGATTGTCAGTTTCTAGAGACAATTTATTTTTCTTTTTAATTTTCAGAGTTTAACATAATGCTATTTGAAGTTACAAGTAGTCTTACCTCTGTAACTGATAATACTTGAAATAAGACCTTTCACAAACCTAAGACAGCACACGTTGTCTTGTGGCTACACTTAGAGGTGAAGAGAAATGGTTGATATTTTCTTGTCTTATTTCTTCTCAGGTTTTGAATGAAGAATGTGATCAGAATTGGTACAAGGCAGAGCTCAACGGGAAGGATGGCTTCATCCCCAAGAACTACATAGAGATGAAGCCACACCCGTAAGTTGGCCCCCTGCTCTCCCAAGGGGGAGCCCACCTGCTTGTTTCATATACTGTTTTTAAATTGAGACCGCTGGGTGGATGTCATACTGTTTATTATTAGGGAACTAACTCAGCATGTTCATTTTGATAATAGTAGTATGTAGTATGCAATGATAGTATATAGTAACGATATACCTTTTAGATTAGTAACTGTTGGTGATCTTCAAAAATAAAACTATTTTTGTAAATCCATAATTATTAGTTTTTTTATAAAACCCTTGGGACCAAGTGTGTTTCTTTTTTTTTTTTTTTTTTTTAAGTTTAAAAAAGGGGTGTTTATGCTGGGCATGGTGGTGCAGTCCTATAATCCCAGCACTCAGGAGGCGGGGGCAGGAAGATCACCACAAGTTCGAGGCCAGTCTGGGCTACACAGTGAGTTCAAGGCCAGCCTGAACTTGGTAGTGAGACACTGTCTTAACCCAAAAAGAAGTAGGGAAGGTACTTACTACACAGTTCTGTGTTGATGTGTTTGATGATCCCTTGGGGGGGAGCATCTTTAATGTTTATATTCCCAGAACATAATGATTGGCATATGATAGTGAAAGATTTGTTCTTTCACCTAAGTGTTCCTACCTTAGAGAGAAGGAAATACGCTCTCCAGGCTGCTGAGAGCAGTGAGCATTTTTAGTTACCTCCAGCCTCCAGCCCTGCTTTATATTGTTAATGTGGCACAGTGGGACCCTGGGGACCCGCATCTGACCCATCACCCTGTGCTTGGCCCTGTTCCCGTCTCAGAAGCAGTCACTTGCAGGCCTTGTGAGTATTGGAAGCACAGGCTCATGGCACGCAGACTAGAATTTCACAAGGGCAATCAGTGTCTGCTTGGTTTAGTACCAGCAGTAGGACTTGTGGATGACTCATCCCACGGTGATCAGCAGCCCACTGTCCCCTCCCCATCGTCACAGTCCCAAGTGTACCTGCCACTTCTTTCCCCTTAGCTACATTATACTTTATACTTCTCCAAATGTCAAAAACGTGTGTCATTGAGCCAGAAGGAGCCTTCAGGGTCATCTGATTCATCCTTTTTTAATCATACAAATGAGGAAGACTTCTAGTATTTTATATTTCGACACCAGTATTTTATGAATGTAGCTCTCATTATAAAAAGCCCACAGTACAGAAAACTGTAGAGTAGGATATGAGCTTGTCCAGAGGTAATCAGTGGTAGCAACTAAATGTGGGTCCAACACTGCCTATGAACTAAACCCCAAACCTGTTCTGAAAGAATGATTGTGTTCTATAAAATGAAACATGATTTAGGGGCCTCCTCATAAAACTTATCAGTTGAGTTCATGTTTTTGGAAATTTTGTGTTTTCTACTTATTTTCCATATAACTTACCTTGCTTTTGAATATAGTGGCTCAGTAAGTACTTTTTTATTTGATAACTCAGGCACAAATTCTTTATTTATTTTTTTATTTTTTTACACTAAGGATTGAACTCCAATCCTTGCATTTTGAGGCAGGCAGTGGCACCAATGAGCTAAATTCCCGGCCCTGCAAATTCTTGATAGTAAAACACAAAAGCCCTGGTGAGGCTGGCAGGAGGATCGCCTGGAGTTTGAGGCCAACTTGGGCTACATAGTGAGGTCAAGGCCAGCCCACACTGTAATGCACTGCCTGTCTCAGAAAAACAAAAACAAAGCAAGAGCATTACATCTTCGAAGGTCTACATACATGAGACTCCTGGAGCCCCTGTGTGTGGGTTGATAATGCCCTCCCTTGAGTTCCCTGCAGAACAAGACCGTCACTCCCAGGTTACTCAAAGGCAGGCCCAAGTGGCGACTACCCAGAAGCATGAATTTCTCATGGACTTTATATGCTATGTCCTAAGCTCAGCTTTGAATTGTTACAGCCTTTGAGTCTCAGAATTTGTGTGAGGAGGTTGTGCGGGCTTTTCCTGGACAGAATTGTAGATACATTGTGCTGAGGAGGCTTTGGGCAGTGGTTCCTGGGAGGGAGAGGAGCTGTGCATGGTACATCTTTTTAGGTTTTTTTTCTTTTTTCCTCATTCTTTCTTTCCTCCCTCCCTTCCTCCTGCCTTCATTCATTCATTCACTCACATACCAACTCAATCATCCATCCATCCATCCATCCATTCATTTGTTTTTCTGGTAGTCCTGGGGATGAAGCCCAGGGCCTTCACCCTGACCTACATGCCCAAGCCTACAGACACACATTTTTTGGGACAGGGTCTCACTAAGTTGACCAAACTGGGTTTGAATTTGTCATTCTCCAGAGTAACTGAAATTACAGGTATGTGCCCTTGCACCTACCTTACTTTTTTTGTTTTTGCTTGTGGTTGTTTTTTTGTCCTAACTATTGAATCCAGGGCCTTTGCGCTGAGCTATATCCTGAAGCCCTTTTTTCTTTTGTATTCTGAGATAGGGTCTTCCATTGCCCAGGCTGACCAAGAGCTAGAATATAGCTCAGTGTGAAGGCTCTGATTCATTGCCGTACATACACACACACACACACACACACACACACACACACACACACACACACACACACAGGACAAGTTTAGATGAGAACTGTGGTTTACTGCCTTCTGCATTAGATCCAGTGATAACAAAATTAACTTGTTTCTTTTAATTTTCATGTTTTTAGACTGAGAAGGAATTTGTCAGAGCATCAGGCTATAATTTTTACCTTAAATAAAGTGCCTATAGCTTAAAGTTCTTCTTTTTCTTCACATTGTTTCAGGTAATAGATATTGTCAGTCTCGCTATTAAGAAAAGATGGGAAATAGAGGGATGGGATAAAAAAGGAATTAAGATGTGTTATGTACATGTACCAACTCCACACAAGAAATATAATCATTGTGTACTGTAAACATGGACTAATAAAAACAGAAAGAAAAAAAAATATATATATAGGAAAGGCCAGGCATAGTGGCACATGCCAAGCCAGGAGGATCCCAAATAAAGCCCAGCTTGGGCAACTGAGTGATTTACAAGACCCTGTTTCAAAATAAAAAAGGGGCTGTGGATGTCGCTCAATACAAAAGCTATGGGTTCATTCGCCAAGTACTGCAAAGAAAGAAAAGAGAGGAGAGAAAAGAAAAACAAAGCCAGCTTCCTTAGAAAGCTGTGGTTACTGACCTTGATTGGAAAGTCACTGTGCCTTGACCATTGTCCCTGACATAACTTTGTGGGCGGGGGGGCTTTGGAGTTCCAGTTGATCAGGAAGCTTCAGCATTGGGTCTTCTGGGTTCTTACAGACTGGCTGCAGGATAGGCAGGGAGCCTCCACTCTGAGCTCTGAAAGGAAAAATTAAAATCTGAAAAACCCTATTTATGCAAGTCTATCCTGTTGCTAAAAAGACCATGCTTGTGCCTGTGTAGAGCTGTCCCCGTGTGGGACTGCTGAGTGGCCAGACGTTATAGGTGTTGGATGTCATAGCTGCAGCCTCGGACTGTCCCCCTTTCTGGTTGGAGAGGAAGTGGGCGGTGTGAAATGGAGAACCACCTCACCTGTGCATTTGCATAAGCACATTCCACACTTAAGATGCCTGCGGGAGTTGTGTGCGCTGGATGTGAGCACACAGATATGCTCTTTGAAGTAAATGCAGGTGGGTGGGAACCTATGGCACACCACAGTGGGAAAGTGAACAACATCTCCTTTTGGCTTTCTCTCGCTTTCCCCCAACATCATCCCTGGTACCAGGGATTGAACCCAAGGCTTTTGCACTAAGCTACATCCCAACCCTTTTTATTTTTTATTTTGAGGCAGGACCTCACTAAGTCTCTTTAAATTGCCAGGGCTGGGGCTTGAATTTATGGTCCTCCTGCCTCACCCTCCCAGAGGGCTGGGATTATAGGTGTGAGCAACCACTCCCAGCATACCTTGATTTTTTTTTTTTGGAGACAGGGTCTCACTGTGTAGTCGAGACTGACCTGGAACTCACTATATATATAGCCCATGCTGATCGCGAACTCACAGTGATCCTCCTGCCTCAGCCTCCCAAAAGCTGGGATTACAGGCATGCACCACCACACCTGGCATACCTTGCTATTTCTAATGTAATGCAGACCCATTTTTTAAAAAAAGATTTATAGACTGTTGGACTGTAGGCATGTAGTTGCACAAAAATATCAGTGTTAAAAGCAGCCTGCCCATGTTTGTAGCAGCACGATTCATATTAGCTAAATCTTAGGTCAGCCTGAATGTTCATCAGCAGGTGAATGGATAGGGAAAGTGTGGTGTTTACACTCGGTGGAGTACTACTCTGCCATAAAGAAAAATTAGCTTGAGTCATTTGTAGGAAAATGGATTGAGATCATAATGTTAAGTGAAGTAAATCAGATGCGCAAACTTAAATATCGTATGGTTTCTCTTACACAAAACCCAGAATAAAAATAAAAGATAATAGAAAATAGGGAGATAGATCATTTTCAGAGCGGAAGGGAATCAAGAGATGGAGGGACCAGAGAAGAAGCGGAGTAGGGGGTGAATCAGAAGAATTCAGGTGTGTTACGTATGTGTTACCCACCCCACTTAAGGAATGTGAACATTGCCTACTGCACTCGGGTACCGACAAAAGGAAGAGGATCCGAAAGGGAGGGAAGGGAGGGGAAAGGGAATGAAAAAAGGAATTAGGATGTGCTGTGTACATGTGCCAGCTTCCCACAAGGAATAGAAACATGCCCTACACACATATACTAATAAACTAAATTAAAATAGTAAAACTTTCTTATAAAAAAAAGCCTGTCAGGCTAAGGGTGTAGCTCAGTGTCAGAATGCTTGCCCTACAATACATGAGGGCCTGAGTTCCATCCCCAGTACCACACAAACTCTTTTTTTTTTTAAAGCTTACCAGATTCCTAAGTGCTGCAAAGTGCTCTGAGAACGTAGAGTGTTCGCAGTTAGATGTCATAACCGAAGGACAGCTCAGCCTTGCTGTGTCATGTGGACAGCTTTCCAAGTGAGAGCACCTGTGTATTTCCTGAAACAGAAGCAGACACCCAAGAAGTTTCTGTTCAGTTAAATTGTCCTCACACTTAATTCTTTATTTCTTGGTTCTGCAAACTTAAAGCATAGATGCCTTTATTTTAATTATAAAAACTCCAATTAGGGTATTTTCCTATACTGTAATTTGCAGTTAACTATAGTGTTTTTGTTTTGTTTTGTTTTGTTTTAACTGGAAAAAAATTGAGTTGATTTTTAAGAAAGCTCTGCAACTTTAGGCAGTTATGGAATTGTGCCCATAAAGAAAGGCCTAGAAACATGCATACTGCTGCCAAAAGTTGCTGCCTCTAGGGGACTGGGGAAGAGTCTGGCTTGTTATTTTTACTTCATGCACATCTAGGTCATTTTAACTTATATATTCATTACTTTATGCCTTAAAGAGGAGCTGCCTAGTGGGAAGCTCTTGGGTCTAAGAGGAGAGAGAATTGCTGCTAAGAACCTGCACCCGCCCCATGTGGAAGGCCATGGTGGGCCCTCCTGTGGCGGTAGCCAGACACACATCACACACAAGTACAGTGTACCCTCAGAAATACCAGAGACCAGATGATATTTGAATGCCCTCAATACTGGTATCTGTCCTTGTCATCTTTCAAGATCATACTAGTCTGTTACTATGGGGTTTCTCTTGAGTGCGCGCACACACGCACGCATACACACACACCCGTGAGTGTTTGTAAAAGCAGGAGGATGCCTTTTGCCAGCCTCTCTGTAGCCTAGCATCAGAGCATGAAAAGTGAGGAAGACCCAAGTCAGTAGATTGAGGGGTATTTGGGTTCCTAAGGCAGCTTCTGAATGTCTCTCCTAGCAGCTCCTGTCTTTCCAGTAACATTTCAGAAATATCTTGCATTACAGCTGTGTATAAGTAAGATAGACATAAAAGGTTTATAGCTTTAATAGAGCGGCACCTTTGCTATTATATTTTACATATTAAGTGAATACAAGGCACCACATAAGATTTCTGTCTTTGCTATAAATGTTTTTGCTTTTTAAAAATAATGAAACATTGAGAATGATTGTGAAAAGAGAACATTGTCTTCATAGTTCCTCCACCCAAGTTACTAATGGTTTGCATTTGAAGTAGCCAAGCAGCAGTGACCTTGAGCCCTTCAGAGGTGCCCCCCTTTCCTCCTGGCAAGCCAGGGGCTGCTTGCTCCCACAGTTTTCCATGAAGTCAGCCACATTATCTGGCCAAAGTGAGCTAGCATTGGGAGAGGTAGAGTCTGTAATTTGCTTGAAATAACAGCTCTTACATGTGTGTGGTAAATTATGTTACCGATGATGTGGGTTTGAGGGACTTTCAGTCTGTCTCGATACTAGGGATCAAACCCTGGGCCTTGCTTATGCCAGCCAAATGCTCTACCACTGACCCACATCCAGGGCCCTTCCCAATGGCTTTTGGTTGATTTTTTTTTTTTTTTTTTTTTTTT